AATAACATAGGCCCTACTAATTAGATCTAAGTTTAAACAACTGTAAATTTAAAAACAAAATGCATCTTATTTGAAACATAACAAGAAGGATGTAGCCCAGTAGAGACCATTGGCGGTGGCAAGTGGGGCAAACTCCCCAGGCCCCGCGCCTGAGGGGGGGGGGGGGGCGATTGGAGATTTTATTGTCACAAACTTGATCACTACACCTTTTCCTCATAAAATCCGATTGAACGTTGATGTTTATATACAAAATAACCTCTTTGGATTGGTTGCTTCTGCCTAGGTGTTTTATAGGCTTCTGTGTATAGACATCGTGCGGCCATGGGAGTAATTTTTTTTTAACTTGTAAGAAAAATATTTTATGCAGAATAATTACAATACAGTATATAATGCACTTCAGCGGCCAATAGTAGGCCAACAGTACCAAAGTAATGTTCTATGTTTTGTAACAAAAAAAGGCCCACTGCGTTAGAGGCGGACATAATGAATTGTTACTGTTACAGCGTTAGAAACGGATTTGTCCGTTAGCGTGATGTGGTACGGTAAATAAAGTCTACCCTTACGGCTCATGACACAAGACACTCGCCCAGGGCCCCTCGCACTGCTAAGGCCACCCCCCTGGATGTAGACAATTAAAATGTAAAATATGAACGTTGAGATCTATACGGGATTTTCACAATAAACTAAACAAATTGAACTCTTATGTTGCCAACTATAGTTTAATTTAAAAAAAATGATAAGTTACAATACAGACAAAAATGAGAATATTTGATTCTGCAGTGCTAAAAAGTGCACAATAATCTATGATATAACTTTTAAAAAAATAAATAGCTTATCACCACTTTTTTTGTCTGTTAACTGAATAAACCAAAAAGCTATTTACAGTTTTATCTCTATTTATGAAAATCTCAAAAAGGGCTAAAAAAAAAAAAAAAAGGCTTATGTCTAAACACTTTGTAATTAACACCATTATTTAAGTTTATAGTCTAAAAAAACGAGTCATTCACAGACCAAAAATGACTCAAATGATGTAATTTAAGACTATAGTAGAATGCCACGATAACTTCACTGTTATCAATAAAATATTTAAAAAAAACTGAACTATAATTGTAACAATATTTTATTGCGTAGCAGTTCATTTTTAAATCAACGCTTCTTCATACTGCTAGTTTATTGCCCATTTCTTTATAAATTAGTTGAAGTCGTAGAGTAGAAGTCTAATATTTCCTATACATGCTGTGCTATGGACGGAAGAGCGGAACAATGTAAGTCTATGGTGCTAATATGTACACATACAATTATCATATATCTTTAAAAAAAAGACATAATACTTGATCTGCGATCTTCTAACTAGGAGAAACAGTGCGCTTATCATACCTGGACAATGATATTTCTAAGCTAAGAAAGTAGGAAAAACTTGGCGATCGGGGCTCCGTTCAGGACCTCGTTGAGGGCGCTAACAGCAATCCCCCATATCCCATAAATTACTAAGGGGTTTGCAAACGTTTTTGACCTAATCGGGTATCATTAGTAAAAGTTTATAAAACCAATTCTGTAAAACATGTTCAGTTGATGTTAAGTCAATTCCCGATTTCAGAAACGTAATTTATTGATACAATGTTATAAATAACGAAATGTTAAGAAAACATGAGCGCTCAATTTACAGTTGCATGACAATCAGTGATGTTAACACATTGTATTAGGCCTATGCTTCAACAAGAAGAATAAACAATAGTTGTGGTATTTTTTTTAAAGAAAAAAGGGGGGTAAGGATGACACTACTGGGTTGTTTAATTTGTTTTTCGTATGCCTATGACAATTATTATTATTACTAGAATGTCTTGTTCTAATTAGTATTTGCTATGCCCCACTCTTCAGCTTCTTCGTTCAAGTTAGTTGGAACCTACGAATTAGCATTAGAGTAATAAAGATTTAGATATTGTGTTCACTATTTTTTTTTTTTTTAAGAGGTCAGCAGTATTTTTTTTTCTAATATTTTACATAACGATGTCATGTTTTTAAAAACCTTTGGGTTAAACGAAGTATATTTACATTACTTAAAGAGTGCATCTACTAAGCTGGATATGGTTACGAAAGTTTGATCTAATTTTGGTGGTTTGCATAGCGATTTTTATTTTTAACGCAGTTTTTCTTTTTCATACTCATAGGCATACATAGCCTTATATATATATATATATATGTATATATAATTTTACTTATTTATTTTTTAAACTACCGGATGATATGTCATTCGAGCAAGCTAATGTTAAGAATAATTCTGAACAGACTTCAAGAGAAAAGCCGAGAAGGCCGTTTCCAAATAACAGTCAGGTAGAAGAACTATTGAATAAATATTTGACAACAGACTGTTAAATGAAAAATGCCTTCAACACACAAAAAAAAACTTTATACATTTAACAAAAACAATTGACCAGGTTTGACATAATGGCATGTGGCAAGTGATGAGGGAGTTCAACATAGATAAAAAAAAAATTATTGATGTTATCAAAGCCCTATATCAAAATGCAAATAGCCCTATACTTCTGATCGACCAAATTGGAAAAAGGTCTAGGACATCCATAGGAGTGCGGCAAGGAATCAATTCTCTTCAGCTCTATTTCTGGAGCACATTATAATGGAAACTCTAGAATGATTTACTTCTAACTTGATCATAAACGGGCGACCTATTTCCAATTTCAGGTTTGCAGATGATATAGACCTCAGTGGAGAAAATGCCAATCAGGTACAAGATCTTACTTCATAACTGGATGCTGTTGCTAGATTAGTTGGCATGGACATTAGGGCTGAAAAAAAAAGCAAATTACTAGTTTGTGATGGAGATAGTACAAGTACGAGATATGCAAACATTTGAGGTTGACTCATTTAAATATCTAAGGTCAAACATAACAAAAGATGGAGGATTAATAAAAGAGATTAAAACCAGTTTAAGCGTTGCATCCGCTGCCATGAAATAAGGAAAATTAAAACTGTATTCTTCGCTAATGGTCTCTATAATCCTATATGCTAGTTCATATTCTGCCCGCTGTCATCCCCCGTCGTCCTGCGGGAAGTTTGACTAGGATGTAGATTATCTTCAACTCTGAAGGAGAAATCAAAACATCTAAAACACTTTACAATTTAAATTTATTTCTTTTTACTTTGAAAAATTACATCGGTCAAACTAGAGTTTTCCTAGCGTGGCCAACGAGATAGTAATTCCTTTCTCAGCGATATACAGCAACTGTCAAATGCTAACGCGTTGAATAGAGGTATTGAAAAAAAAAATACAAAAAAAAAAACTTACCAGCATTTCCTTAGCTGTACACCGGATATACCAAAAAAAAAGCTAGCTATTTATGGTTTATATACCATAGAGCGAAACCACAGACCTATATAAATCTCTAATTGTAAATATAAGATAAAAGTTTTGCTTTTGTTTCAGTTGTATTACTATCTTTTATCTCTTAATTTTATTGTGACGTCAATTCTGGGGTATATATATATATGTATTAATTATATGGTTCTTCAAACTTTTTTTTTAATTGCTATCCTTACTCCTGCTAAATCTGTTAAAAAATCTTTTTAAAAAATATGCATGTCGATATCTTTGCGTAAAACAAACTACAGAACTATATAACAAAAGATTTGTGTAGAACAAGATGTAGAGGTATGATGTATTGTTAATTTAATTTATTATGCTTTTGTGTTGTTTAAATATGCATTTTTGTTCAGCAATACATCTGATTTTTATAAAAGCGTATTTATTCCAATGCAATAACTTATATAATTAGAAATGTATTTACCATTAAATCTATTTATTTTGAAGCAATTACATTGAAATCATTTGCCCTTTTTTTTTTATTTCCGTTCATTTTTTTTTCTCTTTTAGGTTTATTTAAACTAATATTTTCTTATTTGGTTTGAATATAAAAACTAAATATTATGTTGGTCACTTTCTTACATCGAGATGGTAGTTCGGGAAAGGGTGAAATAACACAAGAACAGCAACTGTATCCACTTACCGAACTCTCCAGTCGATTCTTCCCCCTGCGTCCACATTAAAACACGAAGCATTTAACAGTTTAAAAAATGAATATTAAAAAAAAAAAAATGAGTACCCCCGTTTTTTCAATTCCCACTATTTATTCAGTGTTCGTGAATTGTTTCAATTTACTTTGAAAACTTTAAATTATGAAGATGAAATTGTGCATAATAACTTATACTACTTATCAACATTAAAATGATAATTCTGAAAGATCGCTTTGTTAAACAGTGAATTTTTTTTTTAATTTTGCCGTTTAAATCCTGTATTCCACTATAGTAATGAAGGGAACTAACAATTATATTGTATTTTTCTTATAACTGATTATCAGTAACATCCTTTCTGTAGTGGGATACTGGCTACCCCAATGCAAAGGTAAGATTCTATACTATATTGTTTAAGAATTGATTTTTTTATTCAAAAATTGTAAGACCATTATTCTGATGTAAGTTTGGTAAAAGAACTAGGGGAGATAAAAGCAGCTGCTGAAATCAATGACTGGCCTAAAAGAAGAGAGTTATAGAAATTAAAGTAATTACCGTACAACAAGAATGAGGATACAATATGTCCAGTGAGATCATTTTTATTGATTAGATTTTTTTTAAATCACGAATATAATTGTATTGTCTTAAATGGTGAAAGGAATTATTGTATGTTCAGATAATAAACTTGTTGCAATTATTTGCACAAATAATCTTTCTTTAAGTGTGGTACTAACTTTCCATGCATACTATAGCGGACTCAAAAATACATTTTTGTTTTTTTATGGAAATTGTTTTGTTTTAGAAACAAGATTTTGCGTGTATCCCAAGATTCAATGAACCAGCTAATCAAATAGTTGACCATATATCTGAGAAGATCTGAACCATTCGAGCGTTGAACCACTGACTCTGGTAAATGATGAAACTATTTAAGTGGACAAGACCAACAAACTGAATATGAATCAAACCAAAACTCACTGAAGAGAGCAAGTCAACATATTTAATCATAAAAATTTCAAAGAAAATAATTTATTTATGTTAAAAAAAACAACAACACAAAAACAAAGTGATGAAGAGAACATCCTCCAGCAAACACATTGTGCCTGGCCATGTTTTGAAGTAATGGTGGGAGAGGTGATCCAGTGATACAATTATCCATGCTCAATGCTCTCTGGTCTCCAAACAACTCCACAAAGTGGAAACATCGGAACACAGAAGAGCTACATTCAACACTTATTCTACTAGTGAAGTAGTTCTTTGGAACTAATAATTTACAAAAAGACAACCATTTCCACCCCATAACCTTAAAAAAAAAAGAAAGTCTTCAACATTTGCTGTCTGTGACTAGAACAAACACCAAAATACATCTGCAATAGACTTGAAGGTTTATGTTTCGGGTACAGAGAGCAACAACTAATAAGATAATTTTTAAAAAAACTACTTTTTTTTTTGAGTAAAAAGGTCAGGAAGCTACAATTATGTAACTAGTGTCAATGGTATCCAGCAAAAAAGTGTACATTCAATAACACAATTTTCTAGGAATCTATGAGGAAAGAAATGAACTCAGGAAGAAATGACACAAGTCTCTAGCTCATGTTGCAGTACATTTATGTGTTCCAAGTGTTCTATCACTAAGCCAACATGTGTATTAAGGACAATGATTTATTTAAAATGACAAGCTGACACTACTTTCTATTAACAATAAATATTTCCCTTCTGTCTCTAGTCTTTTAATTTTGGGTTCTTTGGGTGCCTCTGAGTTTACCCAGCTTTATTGGGTACCTAACATTAGTTGGGGAAAAGCAAAGGCGATTGATCGTTGTGCTGGCCACATGACACCCTCGTTAACCATGGTCTACAAAAACAGATGACCTTTACATCATCAGAAAACTACCTTGACATTCATGTTCCACAGCTTCCCAACATGCTCTGTTCTAACAGACAATCAAAGTTCATCACTTGTACAATAGAAACAAATGAAATGATGCTGAAATATAAAATACGAATGTAATAGAGACAACATGACATACACTGTGACATTCTTTTATCTTGAAAAACTATTTCTAGTTGAGTATCAATTAGGTTTTAAAACTACATGAGTAGACACACTTAGCTTTCCAATTATTTCTAGAAAAATTTTTTTTCTCTCATCAAAAGCTTAGTTGTTGTTTTTTATAAGCAAGTAGAATGAGGTACCTGGGGATTTAAAAAAAAAAGCTTCAAGGGATTCCTATTTGTTTTTGAGTGCTCCTTCCATATATTGATGACATATGTATTTACACAATTGTATCTAGTTCATTTAATGCTGATATTTCTAGAGAAACTAACAGAAATCAAAGTCACTAGCCTGCACACACGAAATTACTAGAAATAGATTTATTTATTGGCTTTAAATACCTGCACCATCTATATAATGAAGATGTGCCATTAGGTTAAAGCCAAAATTTACTTTATGTTGGAGACAGCTAACTACAATGGAAAAAAATTTCATCACAGAGATATTTGAATGACAGACATACAAATTAAAATAATTGTATATATAAAGCAAACTTAGTTGTAAATAAAGAAGGGATGTTCCAAAGAAGTTTTCCAACCCTAACTCTGACCAAAAAGAGTGGATGAAGCAAGCCCTTTTTAACCCTTGTCATAAGCAAAGGTGGCCAGGAAATGGATCTTCACTGTCCTCTCTTATCAAAGAGCTCTCATCAACTGGAAGTTCATTTGATCACAACTTTTTCATGGTCTTATCTCTTTCTGTCTCAGATGTAATGAGGTCAAAGGTTGAGCATCAGAATGTACTGCTAAGGCTCCACACAAATCCTACCACCTGTATATTCTATCATCAAAACCCCCAAAATAACTTTTTAGAATGAAACAGCCAGAACCGTGCTTTCACAGATTCATTAACATTAAGAAAAAAACTGATATCTATTTCAAAATGGACAGCTTATAAAAAAAAAATGTATATATTTGAAAACAGCAGAAAGCAGATATAATTTTAAAGTGAAGGAAAAAAAGTACAAGTAAGTTTCATTCAGTCAATGTTTATACTATGTGTCTTTCCAAACTAACACTAAGAACATATGTATCTATTCTTTATTGTTTTCCTCATGCTAAAAATAAAAAAAATATCATAGGAAGTAGATATGCTGTTAGAAAAAAAAAATTACATTTTGCAGGCAGAGGGGAAAAAATCATACAGCAAATGAAAAGTAAACAGAAGGGAAGATATGTCACAGTCTCATGGACATGAATGTAATAAATAGTGTATCCATTCTATAAGAATGTGTCCACAAATTATCTTATTAAATGTAAATTGTATAAAGGACAAATACAAACAAATAATTCTTTAAATGGAAATCAAAAAAGGTTGCCAAGCCAAATCTAGAGTTCAAAAGGAACCAAAGAAAAACAAGTTTTGAAACAAGTTGAAACAGACTCCCTTGTCTAAGTAGATTCACTCACGGAATATCTCAATGGCAATAACAAACAACATGTATAAGCACTTGTGACAACTGTGCAACAGGTCAAGTAACACAAGTACAAGTGCTCAGGCTGTAACAGGAGCCAATGCTTTACTCAAAGATTATGATGATGTGACTTAAAAAAACACAGGAGAAGATGGTAAATGATCATTTCAATACATTCAAGTACAATCAAACAAACACAAAACACTAGTTTTAGATACATGCGGAGTAAAAGATTCTAGTGGCAAAATATACAAACATTAGAGCTGGTAATATTCATACTCATCATTCTTGGGAAACATTATTGACAGAAAAAAAAAACATGCTTATTGTTAGCCTTTTGATTGTTTAAATCAGAAACTAACAAATTACTTTTATAACAAGATTAACAATGTATTTCATTTTATGTTATATGATATAATATTTTTTCTTTTTTTGTACTTACATCCGCACTGACATCTAGATAGAGGCTAATACTGGAGCCTGGTTGATGAACAATAAATAAGAGACCCACACTGACAATATCTGGATATATTAGACAATAACACTGGAGCCTGTTTGAAGAACAATAATTCTGATATACCGCCCCCACCCAGGAGGTAGAGCAATCTGAACGGCTAATACCCACAAGCAAAAAAAAAAAAAAAAAGAAAATCCCATCTATTCCTGCCTTTGTTTAACATGAAGCAACAAGAAAAGAGTTTTTCACTTAACATCTCAGATCTAAGATGTAGCTGGCTTTATTTTACATGCTGTCAAATATATATATGTATACAAATAAGACAAGCTGAGTTGAGTTCAACATTCAAAAAATCTTTCTCTATATCATGCCATGATACTTACTTGTTATTAAAAAAAAACAATTACACTAGGACATAATTTTAATTTCTTAAGTTGATCGGATTAAACCCTAAGGTCATAAAATACAATTATTTCTTTAAAAACTTTCCAAATGTTATAACAGACAAAACTTATGGAAGAAGCATGTCAATATTATTGGTGAAGTTAAAACAAGATAACATTAGCACTAATGACCCAGGAAATGATACAATCATACAGGCAAAATATAATGCATGGCACAAGCTTTGTAAAATAAATTCAATTTCTCTTAAAGAAACCTAATAACATATTATTATTGTTATTTAATTGGTAAAACAGACAAACAAACAAAAAAAACTTCAGTAAACGGATTAACTTGAACAATACTATTTGACTAAGTCTACATGAGTTTTTTCACAAAATACTAAGAAAAAAGTACCAAATTCAGGTTCTTTAATAAATACCAATTTAAATATACTTGCTAATAAGGTTCTAAAATATATTAAATGGAACACTTAATGGACCTCATTCACCAATCGTTAACAAACAACATTTGGTCACGTGATAATATTAATAAAACAAAACAAAAAAACTATCACTATTACTTTCACATAATAGAGGATACATATTTGATTCTCTTTAATATTTGTCTCACGTAAGACCAATATAGGGATCTTTGTTAATATAAAATCATTTGTAACATGGCTTGACTTGCGCTTTCAAATGCAAGCATTATTTCCTGAACGAAAAGAGAGAAACCAATAAGACAGCACTAGATAAACAAATCAATACAATAAAATAATGATGTCCTGTCATCCAATAAGTTAAACTCAAAATGATTCTGACAACTGGCTGAGGCAAAATCAGGCTCAGCAGTTGTCTATCACAAGTCAGTACCTGACTGACAACCCTTGTCATGTACACACACACCAACTAGTACAACATCCTAAAAACAATTATCTTTCATACTTTCCCTCATTGTTTTTTTTTTACTTTTTGTCTCCACACCCTTTGGGCACTCATTAGTACTAGTAAAATCAATAAAAATAATGAATGGTTCCAGTACAAATAACATCTTTATAGAAACATTATTTAAAAAAAAAAAGAACTAAAATCAGTTTTTGCTTAGAGTTCATCTCGTAGAATAGTGTATCTATTTCTAGATGGCGCCAACTTTTTAAACGTGGATTCTGGAGGTGATGTGTTTTTAGACTGGATTGGCTGTTGAGGCTGATCACTTGTGTCTCTTGGAATGTTCTTTTTCTGAAAGAAAAAAGAAAAGGAATGACACTAACCACACTTTGTGTAACTTATTATTCCCATAGAACTTCAAAAATTTGTTTAGTCTTTTTATGTGCCATACAAAACGTCTGTAAATATTAAATAACATAATTAGCTAGAGAATGTGAGTAAAGAATGTGAGTAGAGAATGTGAGTAGAGAATGTGACTATTTCGTGAATACATAATTAAACAAGAAACTTTTTCTAATTTTATTTATGTCCAATGTGAATATTTCTGTTAACATAATAGTTAAGAAATCAAGTTTTCTATTAAGATCTAGCAGTTTATGTTTGAGATGAGGAAAAATGTTTTTTCTAGTTAAAGACAAGAGTATAATGTGGCTATGACATGGCGAGCCATCGCTACATAATATGAAAACATTAATTACAGTGATAGAATAAGGTGGTCAAGTGGTCAAGAGTTCAGATATATTGTTTCAACTCTGAGGGAATACTGTAAATTCACTTCAGGACTTAAAAAAGCTTGTGAGCTGACTTGGCTGTAATAAGGGCCTAACATTAAAGTTTACACCGTTAGTCATTGTGCTGATTAAAGAAAACCTAATTTGATTATTTCAAGATTAACATGTCAAACTTACTATTTCCAGTGATGGGAACAGACTTATTTACAAATTTAAGGAAATTTTTGTATCCCCCCCCCTTTTCCCGTTTTTGAAGTGGCCACTATTGTTTGTACATATAGATGAGAGGAGAAAGCTTTTTGCAGATGCTTTATATCTGGGTCCAGGCAGACTGAGCATTCTATAATAGATAACTGCTTTACTGGTATTGTAACAACTTCTCTCTCAAACAACTATAAAGAATAAATGTGTTTGAAAATCAAAACATGCTTGAGTTTTGGGAATACTTCAAAAGTACGAGCTACACTTCTGTTTGTTTCACTGATTATTAAATTTTGTACAGGAGAAACTGTTTATTAAACTTTGCACATGAAGTCCACCAAAAAAATGCTTTGAAAAGCAATTGAGAGAAAGCTGCTGAGTTCTCAAGCAAGACAAAGAAGAACAACCAGATGAAGAGCAATGCTTAGAGGAAGAGAATGCTTAGCAATAAACCTGCATATTGAGGCTTCCATTTGTGACTCTTTTTTTCATGCTGATACAAGTTGTTTACAAGCAGTGGATCTCTACCACACTGGGCT